TCTTGCTGTCTCTGGCAAGGTGAAAGATTAATACAGCTCACCTGTCTGGTGGTACAGGAGTCCCCTCGGGGGGAGGAAGGAAAAGGAGCCAAGACCCGAGTTGGCTTTGGTCTTTTGGTGGGACAGGAGGTGTCTCTAGGTGTCCCTCCTGTGGAAGGGAGACCTAGAAATGCTGAGTGGAGCTTCTGCATTTTGTTACGGGTTCCTCTTTTACAACCTTCTTACCGCTGCACCCCAGGGACTCCTTTGTAAAGGGACAGGAAGGTCGGAGCAGCTAGCTTTATTTGAGGGCTATATTTGTGCTGGGTGTGGTGACTATTAAATGGTAGCTATTAAAATAACTGAAGACTTCCAGTGGAATTCTGTCGGGATCGTTTGTGCCCAGCTGCTTAGTGGGAGGGAATAGAAAAGACAGAATCGGACTCTAGTCACTGTACAGTGATAATATGAGAGACAGTGGGCAGAAGTTGTAACATGAGAAATTCTGATTGAATATATAGATTTTCTTTCCTCTGTGCGGTCCAGCGTTGTAATAGGCTGTTGAATCTGCATCTGGGCAAAGGCCCTGGGCAAATCTGATTTTGTTGCACCTGCTCTTTGTGGGCAATTGGGTGACCCCCAGAGAGCCCTTTCAATTTAAAATAATCTATGCTCATTAAAAGCAAGTATAGGCAAGCTTTAAAACTACTGCTCTGTCTGTTTTAATTTATCTAAGATTTCTTAGGGGTTATCTTTGTTTTTCCTGTAACCATCAACAATAATCTTGAGTTCTGTGACATTACACTTTTTTAACTATTAAAAAGCTAATTCTCCATTCATCACAACATTATTTTTTTATCAGCACTGTGAGCTGTGGCACAGTTTGTTCCACGTAGGAACAAACTTGTTAACAAACTTATCAATATTTTACTATATAAGAGAAACTGTAGCTGACAAAATATAATTGCATGTGTATCAGCCTGCGGACTAAACTGGCCATCTACCTCTACATGCATAACTTATTTGTGTCCATGATTTATTTTTTTCATAGCATCCCATGTGGGAAGATGCATTGTTGTCTGATGGTCTGTGAAATCTGCTGTATTTACAGGAATACAAATTCTGAAATTAGTATTCTAAAATTGCAGTGAAGCAGGACTTCAACATTTGCTGGCGGGTTTAAATTAATAGGAGGGAGAAACAGGATTTGTTGGACTTTCATTCTCGGTTATGTTCAATAAACTTAACAATAAACCCTTCTGATAAGCCAGCTTTAAACTATTGCATAGCAACTGCTGTGTTTCTCTTGCCCTTCTGAACAAACTATTAGACACTTTGAGTTTTTAAGATGATGGTATGCTTCTACACATGGCTCCTTAACATAAAGATAGCTAACTTTTGACACTGAATTCCAGTCTGAACTGAAATGGGGCAGTCTTTCACTAATTCTCACTTAGCTGTAACCATTTAAAATTTTTTGCCCTTGAGGGCTATTTAATCTTGAAAGCAGCATGCAATGGGTGATCTCAATCACATTTATATTGTCTTCCATACTCAGACTATTTAAATCTGTATTGGGTATGTTAGTAATAGCAGATGGTTTTGGATAGCTTTTGCTGTAAAATGAAAATTAATAGCAGTAGACAGGCAGGAACCTTCTTCTGGCAGTATTTCAACTGACTTTAATAACTCCATTTATGGGGAAAATGGATTCCCTCCTGTTCTCAGGCATGCATCCCTGCTCCAGTGCATGCTCACTGCTCTGTATCTCCGGGTGCTCCAGCATGGAGCCAGCTGTGTCCTTCAGAAGGCGTGGGGATTAAACATAGGCGACAGCAGTGAAGAAGCACACTGCAATTTTAGGCTCTCTGAATTTCCCAAATTACAGCAGAATTGGCTGCTGAAGGGGAAACGGTCACTTCTGAGGCTGAGGCTTCCTTACCAGTGAAACAGGTCCTGCTACAGCACTGTGGAGGAATATTTAACATGCACTGACTGTTAGATAGTCAAACTCAAAAGCACTCTGTGCTTTTATATCTTTATTTTTGGCAAGTGGCCACATAGTTTCTCTATCAGAACAAAGGCAGAGGCTGTGTGTGCATCTGGAATTGTGTCTAATTTGGTTCTTGATGTGCTCCTTAGTTTTGAGCTAAACCTTTTCCATAAGGTGACCAGACATTGCATGGAAGGGTCATCTTCTTCTTTCTCTTTTTCAGCAAACGGAGAAATACATTTCAAAACAGGTCTATCTCCTTAGCTAATTCAGTTTATTTGTCTCAGACTGCATAAGCATTTGCTTAATGATGTGCTCTTTATTACTGGGGAGGGAATGTGGAATCCTGTATTTCTGAAGAAATCTGTGCTGAGACTGCTGCTTGAGAAGATGCAAGTAGGCTGGCTGGTTGTTGTTTGTTTAGTCTGGAGAAGGGAGTATGTTTTGGGAGGAGCGTTTAGACAGCACATATTTCCTCTTCTTAATTTGCTTCTGGAGAGGTATTTTTAGCTTAAAAAACCCTTAAATGTTAGGAGGCTTGGAAATGATATATTAAAAAATTGCAAAAAACATTTTAACTTTCTTACTTGCATTTCAGATTCTGTTTGGGGAATTCTTGAAGTGTTAGGGCTGCTTCTCTGTGTACTGTATGATAGTGCTCTGTACACAAGTGATCCTGAGTTTCAAAGCCTTCTAATTACAACACTAATGAAATTAATATTATTCCCCTTTCTTCCCCCTTCCCCTCTTTTTAAAGGAGGGGAGAGCCCAAGTGTAAAGAAGTAATGCCAGTTCGTAGCTGAAGTAGCAGCTACAGAGAATGAGTTAATGTTGGCTTTGGGTTTGGTTTTGGGGCTTTTTTGGGGGTGGGGTGGGGAGAAGAGGAGGTAGGGCAGTGCAAGCACATTTTAACAGCTTTTTAGGGAGGACGATTTTAAAAACCAACCAAAAAAAAAAAACCAAGCAAACAACCCCAAACAAACATGAACCTGCCCTGAAAAAAAAAACAATTGTTTTGTGTTGCTTTAGCTTCCTCTTTCTCTTTAGAGAACATCCTGGCCAATATTTTGTTCTCTTTGTGTGTGGCTTGACAAGTGTGCTCAGTTGTCTTCTGATGTATAGTGTGTGTGCGTGAGGTACAGTGTGGATATGGCAAGGCTCTGGATGCCAGATGAGAAGACCCCTGTAAACACCCATCTTCAGTGGAGATGAACTTTTATTAACCCATTAGCTTTATATATCCAACATAGACAAAAATGTAGCTGATGAAAGAGAACTTAATCTTTAAAGTTTTATGTTTATTTTAGATGTCTACTGGTCTGGCTTCAGGTTAGGGCCTATAGCATGTGAACTTCTTGAGCCCTTAGGCTAACAAAGATTTCACCATGATCACAACAGGCTTGTATTTCTTCTTCTAGATAAGAAAGGAAGAAATAATTTCATGTCCTTCTGTCCATCCCTGCAGTTGCAAGCAGTAGCTCAATAGCTGCCAAAGTATTTCTTCTCCCTAAATAGACCATAATCTGCAGGAAAGTTTTGTGATTTCGTCGGGAATGTCTAATGACTGTGGAGGCAGTGATCCTTCAAATTATAAAATAACTGAAAACATGGTCTTCTCTGCATCTTATCGTGTTTTCTGTGTTGAGCAAGGGGTTTGTGAATAATCTGTTCCTTCATTTTGGACAGAAACAAGTTGAAAGTTGAGCTGCTTATATCCTTGTACACAAAACAACAGTAGTATGACTTCTCGGAGTAAATCACAAACTTCTTAATAATAAAACTGTATCACCACATCTAATTAACCCTGGCATTGTATTATTGTTGCCAGAACTAAGATTAGTACCAGAACTTGTTGGCTCTAGCTTGCTTTCCATTCATGGTAAAAGCCAAACGGGAGGTGAGCCGTCTCCTTCACGATGACCACCCCTCCCACTGCGTCTACCACAGCTAACTGGGAGTGCTCCTCATGGCGCTGGAGCGGTGGGTGGGAGTGTGGGGATGGGTTCCCCTCTGCATGTTGGGCATGAGCCTGCACACCTAACCGTGGTCACAGTTCCACGGTCCCTCATCTGTCTGATTTAAGAGCGACATTCCCCAAAGGTTTGAAGAGCTGGAGTGAGGCGTTTTAAATTTACTGTGTAATATGAATGCATAAGTTATGGTGCTTGGTGTCTATTTTTGACCTCAAACTTCCAGTGGCTGTTACTCAGTTAAATTTGCTGATGTGTTGATATATTGTGTGAATACCTGGCCTTTACTCTGCGCTGGTTTTTATGTTCTCTCATATTTCCTCTGCATTATGAATTGGTCATCTGTCCTTTTAATCTTTTCACAGTGAAACCCTTTGCATATCATTTATGGTCATTGCTTTCGCTAGCTGTGCTGTTTCTCTTTCTCCTCAGAAAGTAAGCTGGTATTAGTCCAGCTGAAACGTAATTGTAAAGTGTATGTTCTGCTCTCAATCACTGTCAGAGTAGTCTCAAATATATTTGGGAATATTAGACTAATCACTTAGATGTTTTCTTTATTCCTATCAGATGCCCAGGTTAGTGCATATAAATGTGGGATCTCTTTATTTCTTGATCTCCTCTATTTTGCCAAGTCGCATACTGCAGATCACTTTGTCCTGACAGCTGGATTAAATGTCCTTTGACTTGAGGTCTTACAGCCTCACTTGCTGTGGTTTCACAGCCACAGACCGAAGGAAGGGCTGCAAAGAATCTGCTGCTTCCCTTGTGCGAAGCTTGCAGAGCAAGCTGGGCTAGGGAGACAAGTCACTAGAAAAATACTTGGTTTTGGCTAAGGCTAATTTTCTGCCTGCTAGCTCAACCCTATGAACAGGCTTGTATGAACACTGCCACTTATGTAGGTACAATAGAAAGGTGACTGTACCCCAAAATACTGTCAGCTTAGTCAAATGCTTAATCTTTTGCTTTAGTTGTGGATTGTAGATTATAAAGGCAGCAGTAAGATCATTCATGCAGCATATTTCTTGAAGCTGACTGTAGTCATCTTGCTTTGTACACAGATGGGCTTGGGCCATGAGCAAGGATTTGGTGCCCCCTGCTTAAAATGCAAGGATAAGTGTGAAGGATTTGAGCTTCATTTCTGGAGGTAAGTGACACCAGATGTCTCCTAAGCTGTGACTCAGCACTGCAGATCTTGGCACATGTATGCAAATGTGTAAGTAACTGCTTTTGGTTCTCTCTTTCAATTAAACTATTCAGATGCTTTAAAGAAGCTGTGTCTAGGTTCAGGGCCAGGGCTTCCCAGCTGCATTACAGCAGAGTGTTTAAGTATGTAATCACTTACAAACATGCATTTCATCTGCACTGAAGTCAATGGTAGCACTTCTACTGAAGCATTTGCTTTAGCTTAATAAACAGTTGAAGTAGGTTTGTAAAAACATCTCTATCCCTATAGTAAGAGAGATGACAGGAAAGAAGTGTGCTTTATCTCAGTAATAAAATGCTTTCTCAGCTCCTGAACAAATACATAAGCTTCAATCTGAGATTTTAAGTAAAATTGTCTTATCTATGTTGAAAAGATGTTGAAACTTTGTATACATCTACAAATGACTTAGAGAGGGGGAAGAAGTGTCATAATTCAAGTAAGTTAGATGGCCTTGGATGATATGCTGTTCCTAAACCAGTAAGAGCTGATGATAGTTGCAGTAAATAGGCTATGCTGTAGTCTATGCCATTACTTCTGCAGAAATTTTGTATTCCATCAAGACTTTTCATGTCTTACTGAAACCTTAAAGTATTTGTCTAGCTAGTTCAGTTCACTGATTATACTGGATGTGCTTTAAGATACAGCTTAGTGATTCTGATTTATTAAAAAAAAAAAATTCCTCTTAAAGGGAACAGCCTGCAAGGACATAGAAAAGAATTGTTAGTAGCACTAGCACATGCTAGCAGTGACAACAATTACATTTCACCAATGCTATTTAGCTACAGTCATAACTGTATCTGCTGTAGGGTTTTATTTTGTGGGGTTTTTTAAGATAGTCCTTGCATCCCAGCCAGAGTGGCATCAGGTGCAGATAAGACCTAAGAGGTTTTACATCTTTACCAAAGCATTTGACTGCAGCTGAGACTCAATTTAGAACATAACAAAAGAAACAGACCACAGCAAAAACTTGCTATAAGTTGATGAGGATATAGCTTCTCAGTTATGTATCTGTAATATATAACTATAGAAACAACTTACAATTAATGACATGGAGCAAGAAGTGGTAATACACTAATAAACAAATGTAATCATCTAAAGATAGAAGAAATTATTAATTTATGGGAAGACTTTTTCAGTACGCAGTCAGTCACAGATGGGACTTGTGTAGAGGTACTAGAAAAATAGCACACAGTTAACATGTGTAGGTAATTCAATAAAACAGAATAAAAATTTTGCAGGAGTAAATAGTGTTGTTTGTTCATGGTTAGATAAGAAATTATGTCACTTCCTACTTGAGAAAGATGTTTGTTTAGAGCCAGTGTGGGGAAATCACAAATTGGGGAGAAAAAAAAGACTAGGCCAGTTAACTTCTTTTTCTCAACTCTTCCTTTTTGTCTTCTTTTTCTTAGTTCATATTATTAAAAGACCTTGTAATTCCTAGCTTATTCTTCAACACGGAAGAACTTCAGCACATGAAAGACATGGACCTGTTGGAGCGGGTCCAGAGGAGGGCCACAAAAATGATCAGGGCATGGAACGCCTCTCCTATGAAGAAAGGCTGCGAGTTGGGGTTATTCAGCCTGGAGAAGAGAAGGCTTCAGAGAGACCTTATTGCAGCCTTTCACTACTTAAAGGGGGCTTAAAAGAAAGATGAGGACAAACTTTTTAGCAGGGCCTGTTACGACAGGACAAGGGATAATGGTTTTAAACTAAAAGAGGGTAGATTTAGACCTAGATTTAGAGGTAGATCTAAGGAAGAAATTTTTTACGATGAGGGTGGTGAAACACTGGAACAGGTTGCCCAGGGAGGTGGTAGATGCCCCATCCCTGGAAACATTCAAGGTCAGGTTGGACAGGGCTCTGAGCAACCTGATCTAGTTGAAGATGTCCCTGCCCATGGCAGGGGGGTTGCACTAGATAATCTTTAAAGGTCCAACCCAAATTAATCTATGATTCTATGAATTTGGGATAAAAAGATATAAAATGTCTAAAGTTATTTAGTCATGTAATAGCATGCTTACTGAGCTAGAACATGTCTGCTTCTGTGTGTGTATTTGGAGGTTTTTGTGTGTTTTTCTTCATACACATTTCACGTCGCTCTTATGGTTAGGGCTCATTGTGCCAGGTCCTGAATACATAGCTTGTCAGGGCACTCACTGTCCTAGAAAGCTATAGACAGCAGTGGATTAAAAAGCAAGAAAGAAAAAGACATAAAAACAGTGAAGATGTTAGGTTTTAGAATTTAGTGAAGATGAAGGTTTAATTTGGAAATCTAATCAACATAGGATAGACCAGGTAAATAAGGTGGCTGGAACTAGTCTGAGAAGCATCTTCTAGGTATCAGACAAATGTGGCACATACCTCTGGAATAGCTGAAAAGTAAGCCATTGAGGCAATTCAAGAATGGGTTAGAAAAGAGCTGTTTCTCCAGCAGAGCTGCTACTGGGGACAGGAAGAGTGTGAATCTGAAGTCTGAAATCAGTCTTGTGTAAACAGTTTTCAAAGGAAAAAATATATTAATATACTTTGCTATGATACAGAGATTTTGGGATTCCACCACTTGAACAGAAAGGGATGGATCCCTAATACCTGTTCACTTAGTCATGTTAACCTTAAAAACTGAAACTATTTTAAGTATTAGCAAACTATAGCAGAAGTAGACATAATAGTCTTTATAACATGAATGATCAGGAGCAGTTCAAGTTTAATCACTAATTTCACTATTGCGTGTCTGTAAAAGAGCGGTGTTGAAGTAGGGATTGTAGTTAGAGAAACTGTTACAAGTTGGGAAGAATGACTGTGGTAGGTTGACTCCAGCCAGCAGCCAAGCACCCACACAGCTGCTCACTCCCTGTCCCCTCACAGCAGGGTGGGGGTGAGAAAAGGGAGAATGAAAGTGAGAAAACTCATGGGTCGAAATAAAGTCACTTTAACAGGTGAAGGAAAGAGGAGGGAAAAAAAAGTGATGCAAAGGCAGTCACTCGCCCCCTCCCACCAGCAGACTGATGCCCAGCCAGTCTCCAAGCAATGGCCACTTTGGAAGTCAGAAACCCTGCCGCCTTTGTCCTCTACCCCCATCTTATTGCTGAGTTTGCATGGTATGGAGTATCCCTGTGGCTAATTTGAGTCAGCTGTGCCCCCTCCTATCTTCTTGGCCAACCCCAGCTTACTTGCTGAGGTGGGGATGGAGTCCAAAAAAGAGAAAGCCCTGACACTGTGCAAGCATTGCTCAGCAATAGCAAGTGCTATCAACAGTGTTTTAGCCACAAATCCAAGACGCAGCACCATCCGGACCCAGTACAGTAAGTGAGGCAGTAGTTGTGTTTGCAGCGTGGGCAGGCTGCAGTCCTTGCTGTGATCTGTGTAAGGGTGACACTGTCTTCTCCCTGGTGGAGCTGAGGAGCTTCAGCAGATCACGTAATTCTTGTTCCCTGGTCTGATACATGGAAACTCTGGTGTACCTCAAAGAGCTAGGTGTAATTTCTGTGTCTTTCTGCACAAAAGAGCCTCAATTCTGCCTTTGGGGAGTCAGATTGGAAAGTACATGAAAAAATCCAAGTATACCTATCTGGTAGCAGGGTTTTACACGGGGTTGTTACACCATTCTTCTCTATACTGGGAGTTTTTGAAGATACCTCTTCTGGGGTGGCAAGTGCTCTTTAAGTACTTTGTGCTGTAATTCTTGGCACAGTGTGTGGGGTGGTTATATAGGTGCAGAACTATTAATTTGTCTAGTACAGAAAACCACCACAGTTTGGTGGTAAACAAAGTAAAATTTGTTCCTAAATTTTGAAGTTCTGAAAGCCTCAGTGTTGTGAGCTGAATACAATAAGAGCCACAATCTACAACAGTAGCTGAATGGTGAACAATTACCTGCTTTATCTTAGTGTGTTAATAGCTTCTGCTTTTAAAATTGTCCTCAGAATCATGCTTCTGTCCAAATGTAGCGGCAGCAGCGGACAGGGTCTTCTCAGTTCAGGTGTTAGACTTTTTCAGGCTGCAAAACTGCCTCTGCAAAATTAGCAGGGCAGGCTGGCTGTAAGATTGCTACTGGGATAAATGTTTGCTCTTAGGAAATGTGTTTCCCACTAGAGGGAGGTGTGGGACAGGAGTCAGAAGTTGCTAAAAGCAGGAGAGAAGGTTCTGATTTATCTTGGTTGTGTATATACTTCTGGTATTGGTAATTGACTCCGGTGTGGCTTGCCAAGATATTAAAAAGCTTTTGGAAACAAGAATCTTAAACTTGGGAACGACCATTTTCAGCATCTGGCTTCTTTGCATAGATACAATTCCTGGAAGGCAGAGAGCGCTTTAAGTTGGCTTTAACATTTTCTGGTACTAAGGCTGTCGGGCAAGTACTGAGGTACGGTTCAAAGCATTTGCAATTACTATAGTTGCATTAATAGCAAGGAAACGTAATAGAAGGAATCATGGGAAGAGGTTAGTCTTTCTGTGTGGAGGACACAAGGCTCAGGACTTGTCAGGTATTTGTTGAGGGCTCCACTGTGCTTGCAGCTGCCTCCTCCTGTCACTAGGAGCCACTGCAAAGCCAGTATAGGAAGAGTCATGATCTGAATTATTTTTCCTCTCCATATACTAAAACATAAAAAAGTAGGAGGATTGATAACATTTCATTTTGGAGAAGGAACTGTAAGTCTTTGATCCTTGCTGTCAGTAGAAACCCAGGACACAGGAATTCACCAGCCTGGGAAAGAGGATAGAATCTACTTACCTTCCTTCTTCCTCCTTCTACCAACCCAAGACCTGGAAGCAAGACACAATCTACTAAACCTGTTTTTTACAGTGATATGCAACTTTTAATTCCACAAATTTTGAAACTTCTTCTCTATCTTCCATATTTTGAATGGGAAAAGCTTCCCAAACTGCTGAGATTTGACTGGAAGAACATTTCTCTCCTTTGTTGAAGTCCTGAGAGCTGTGAACACATAAGCAGGAGTCTCTAGTACCTCGTTCAGTAGCGATCTTTCTGAATGCCCTCAAGGGAAGGGAAAATCTCTTTGACAATGCAGATGAAAAGAACAAGAAATTTTCACTGACTGTCTTCTAGATAGAGCCAAAAGAGATAAATGGAAGTCTATACATATACACACACATATATACACACGTATATAATAGCAACTGGTTTTCCTAGCACACATGATGTCTTCGCTTTAAAAAAAATTAAGCATCAGTTATCAGACAGACTTGTGAAGTGTAAGTTTTTGAGGTAATGGGACAGGGTCACTTCAGTAAGATAGCCGTATCAGAGCTAAAGAAATGACCAGCTGATCTGTTCTCAGTAGAAGTAACTGGCCATATCCCTTCTGCAGAAGGGACAGTGACTAATGAACGGGACTCTAATGTGCTGCTTGGTGGAAGAAGGTATGACTAAACTGTAAACAGTACTCTGGAGGAAGAGTTATGTGTGTAAATGTCAATTTGATATCTTTTAGGACTGGAAATTATTCAAGAAAAGGAATTATAAATCAGAAGAGGAAACTTTTTTTTGGCTGTTAGCAGTTTACAGATATCTTCATGTGGCTGAGATCCAGGGGAGCCCTGAGGAGCAGGGGAAATGGCAACAGCCTTGGGGATTTTCCTGTGACTTACTGAGATATGTTGACATCAGTTGTGACTCAGCATTCTCCACATTCTTTCTGGATTGTTTTCTCCTGCATTTGGAGACTTAATTATCACAAGCTCTAATGCCAGGGCCACCACAATTGTAATTTTGTAACATAGCCCCTGTAACAGCTTCTTGCAAACTGCATGTAGGTAAAGAGTCATTCACTTAATCTTGAAAGAGCAAGGAGATAATATTAGACTGAAATGTACACAGTCAAGTTCTTAATTTAAGTAAGTCTGGAGTGGGGTGAGATTAGTGAGTATCTCATTCTTTTCAGTGCAAGTATAAAGCACAGTCGTTTTATGCCAGTTTTCACAGTGGGACCCAGGAAGAACCTGAGGACAAGTTGTATGCTTTCACTTCCTTGCAAGTATATGTTCATCTTTTTATCAGGACAACAGAAAATCTCGCACCAATACTGAAATTGGTGAAACATGTTAAGCCTTCAAGGTGGGACTGAGCATAAAAGTAATTGAATCAGGGTGCTTTCCTAGTTGGAAACAAAGCTTTCCTAGTTGGATTTCAAAGCTGTTCTGCATTCCAAGAGAAGTCTTTACTAGAAAATAGATATGCAATTTCGTGACATAGTGTGAACAAAAATAAGGTGCCCTTGTGGCTTTTCCAGCACATGTGAAGGTCTCGGGGGAAAAATTCCACCGCAGCTTGTTGGGGATGGTCTGGTCTCTGCAGGCTGTCAATGCTGCTTCACTGTAGTTGGATGCTGTACAGAGTGGGGAATGCTGCACAAACTGGCATGCCACTGTTGTGACCACGCAGGCAATATGATGATATGAATTGTTCTTACCGAGTTCTGTTTTGCAAGCAGAGCAGTTCTGGACAGCAAGACTATACTTTATTTGCATGAGTCTGTCTCTTTTTGTTCATCAGTGTTATTAGATCACGTCGTGTCAAGAGGCAAGACTGGGGCTTACTATTGCTAAGTTGAAAAAGTGAAGAAAATATCTGATAAACTGTTGTTCAAATGGACTAACTGCTTGCATTCCAGTTACGTGTGTACTGTGAGGCATATAGCTGCACTTTAGTCATTGATGTAATCTGCACTTTAGTCATGGATGTAATTGATGATTTATTATCTTCGGGGCTGGCTGTGCATCACTTTGGCCAATTATATGCAGGTCTTCCTTCTTCCTTCCTTTCCCATCACCTAATGCACCTGCTGTAGTCATGGCATGTTCTTGTCACATACCTGTTACACACCTTACCTTAAGGCATCTATCTTGCCTTCAAGACTTTAGAAAGCAAGATGCAGAACAATGTTAGAGTTCAATGGGTTTTGGCAAACAGGGCTGAGAAGCATTTTATAGGTAGTAGTTTTATGCTATTTGTTATGTGAAGAATAAGTAATGGGGTAAAATATTACTTATTCCTCTTCAAACTCTAGAGATCCAGAAGGTTGATCTTTTTTCTTAGGCTATAATAAGAACCTTTAGTTAACATCCAGCTTCACTAATTTCCATATACTGTGGCTGACTGCTTTGAACTGAAGCTCTGGGGAAACCATTTAATAAATAGTAAAATAGCTTGTCTAATCCCAGGTTCTGTTTATTATATGTGAATTGTTTAATTATGCTTAAGGTAATAAATTGCTATCTAATATCCCTTAATCAAAGGAGTTCAAAATGTGTTGTATATGAAAGAATACCATTTATAAGTAAAGCCTTCTACCTTTTTAAGGATGTTATCTGTGAAAATTCTCTACACAGCATGTGCCAGAGTACCTCTGACTTGGTTCAGAGCTGTTTGAAAAGCTTTGTCCATATAAGCCTTTCACTTTTCTTTCATCTTCTCTTTTAAATGCTGAACTTTGAACAGAACTTGGTGCAATTACACTGTATATGCTGTATGCATTTTTTTTCCTTTCTAGGAAATATTTGTTTCCACTTGATAGCAACCCTGTGATAACCAAATATCATGCATGCAGTGAAATGCATATGAAGAAAATAGTATAGTGTGTGTAATTTTGAGTGTATAAAGAGAACCTGAAAAACTAAAAGCCAAAATAAATAACTTCTGGGGGGATCATGTTGATGCATTTAAATTAATTCATGGGTGACTACCCATAAGAAATCCGGTAGTAGATGGTAATGGACATGTATGTGCGTGATAAGTACTGAGATGTAACTGAAGGAATGATATAGCATCATATTCAAAACGCATTAGTGTAATTGACTGATATCTATCTGATCATACTCTCTGTGAGCAAAGAATGTAAATAATACAACAGGAGAAATAAAGAATATCCTCAAGAGGTGTTTGACATATTGCAGAATAACATGTATATTCCCTAATAAAAGCACTGAAAACAAGGTTTTGGGTTCCCAGTGATATTACTATGCATGCAGCTGATGTGAGGTGTAGTTTTCAGCTGAGACTGTAACTTTGTTGCTGTTTCCATAAATTTCAGAAAAATATGCCGCAACTGCAAGTGTGGCCAGGAAGAGCATGATGTCCTCACAAGCAATGAGGAAGATCGGAAAGTGGGGAAACTCTTTGAAGATACAAAATACACAACCCTTATTGCAAAGCTGAAGAATGATGGCATTCCCATGTATAAACGCAATGTTATGATACTGACTAATCCGGTGCCAGCCAAGAAAAACATATCCATCAATACTGTGACTTATGAGTGGGCTCCTCCTGTTCAGAATCAGACACTTGTAAGTCCGACACACTTTTTCTTCATGTTCAAGGCAGGAATTGATGGGAGAGAGTGAAGTAGAGCTTACCGGAAGGATAAACTTGCCTCTTGTAGTCATTCTGTGTGTACCTCTTCTTTTCTTTCTTCTCAAAAATGAAAATATGGTGCCTGTTTAATGAGTCTTGCCTGTGTGATCTTGCAGATATGGATGCTTGTCTATGGAACTTCTTGAACTGGGGAGATGAGGTGGCCTTTAATAGATAGGATTAAGCGCTATCTGCTAAGTCCCTAGAGTCCAATTTCTTTAACCTGCCTTTTTAGTACACTTGAAAAATTTGCGTGGAGTGTGGGCTTAAAAATGGAAAAAAAAAAAAACAAAACCAAAAACCTCCAACAACCCCACAATTTATGTCATTGTTTAAAGTTAAGGGGAACACTCAGTCTTGCATATAGCTTTTACTGTATATGGTAAGAGCAAGGTCAGTGTTGACATCTAAAAGAGCAACTCTCTTCCAGTATGTTTTCAGCTGAAGTAGATGAGATGGTAGATAGCCTTCTGAGGATTTTGCTTCACTTTTCAAACTTTGATTGCTAATTTACTGTACTGCAGTGTTTGTGTGATCCGTGCTGGAATCATGTTATCTCTGACCTACCTCTCAAAATATCCTTTTTCAGTGACTTAATCAAACCTTGTGCATCTAAATTGACTGTTACTTAACATTCAGTTACCACTTTGATTTTTAGGCTTGTTCTTGCTTTATTAAAACTAGAGCTTTTTTCTTTATTTAGCTAGAATTATTTCTGCAATGGGCTGTGTGCCCTAGGCAAACTATTTCAGCTTCTACTTTTTAAAGCTATACTAATGATCAGTAGTTTTAGGTAGCTTTGAAGAGACAAGGTGCTGTGTGAATGTTAATTATTGTTTACTCTGAGAAGTATTCTGTAAAAGGCTTAAAAGGAAGCCTATTTCTTACTCTGGGAAGAAGCCAATTAATGCATATGCTGTATTTTATCTCCATCTATTGTGTTTTGGAGTTTAATGTTTATGGAAAGAACCTTGTTTTTGACAAATTTGACTGTCGCTAACAACAGTAGAGATTATTTTAGTCGCATGTTTGCTTAAAAGGATGGGTCTATAGTTGAAGTGGCATCTGATATCTAATTCCTCCTGGTTCAGGCTAGACAGTATATGCAGATGCTGCCCAAGGAGAAGCAGCCTGTTGCTGGCTCGGAAGGCGCGCAGTACAGGAAGAAGCAGTTGGCTAAGCAGCTGCCTGCTCACGATCAGGATCCTTCAAAATGCCACGAGCTCTCCCCCAATGAAGTTAAGCAGATGGAACAATTTGTGAAGAAGTACAAAAATGAGGCTCTTGGCGTAGGAGATGTCAAGCTCCCTGGTGAGGTGGAAACAAGAGCTGCTGAGAAGAATAATGTGAACAATGGTGACAGAGGCACCTCAGCTGCTGTAGGAGCGATGGAGGACAAGTCCCCAGATCGGAAGGCATCTCAGTATGTAAGTATAAGAAAGGAAAGATAAAACAAGAAGGTATATTACTAGCTGAGTGCTCTCTTTGGTCATTTTAACCCCATTAACTTGTTTGTTAACTTGGAATAGTGAAAATCTGGGGAGGGAAAGAAAGAAGGGGAGCTGGAAAACATTGTGAATGTCTGCACAGAACCCTGGTTTTTGGCCGTATTTAGTGCATCACAGCAAATAACTTCCTAAGTGACCTTACCTTCATTGCAAAAACATATTAGCTTGGAGATATAATGTAGCAGGGTGGCTTTTACAGAATAATAATCACGAAACTTGTGTAGTCTTACAGACTAATTGCTACACTTTTCTCCTCTTGAAGAGTTTTAGTTTAATTTTAGAAGCCTGGTTTCTCCTCTTCCTTGGAAGAGCACCAAAATTACCCACTTGACAAATTGTGTTTAAAAATTAAATGAAACTAAGAAAAAATAAAGTAACACGTCTCTCTCCCATGTCCAATAAGCCAAGCTGTATAACGGCTGTTTTGACTAGCCGCCTTCTCATATTCAGAACTCTTTTTTTTTTTTTTTCTTTGATCTATTGTTTTTTTGGCATCTGATTTCTGCCTTGTAATAGCTCAACAGAAAATAAGGTATGTAAAATTACCCAGTTTTTATTGATATTTCTAGAACTATAGCCTTAATAAAGTATTTCCAACATAACTTGCTAACTTCTGCTGTGCATGTCTCAGCAACCAATTATGAATACAAAATAGGGGTAGGATTAGTGAAGTAACATTAAATTAGTTTAGTGAAGGTAGATGTTCACTTCAGAGTGGCAAAAGCTCCTGTAACTTGATTTCCAGAAATGTTGCTATTATATGTATGAATCCCCAAAATTATTTGTCTCCAGGTTACTTACAGAAAATGAATATACAAGTTCTAGATGGAGATAAAAGTTTGTAACATGGTCGTAGAATATGGCTTTCAGTGTTATTGGGGGGTGTTTTGTGCTGCTTTTGGTGTGTTTTTGTTGTTTTTTAAGCTGACGCAGTATATTACTTCTGGTGTAATTCATATGGAGTATAAAATTAAGACTTACGTTTTAGCTTGAACATGCCCACTTACCTTAATCAGTCATATGCTGTGCCATTTGTTTACCTGTAGCTACTTTCTAAAATTGTTCTATCGTGGCTTGATTAGATTGCTGTCACTTTGTGTAACCCAACCTCTCCTGCTGGGTTACTTTGGTTTCACCACAGCAATTCATCACTTACCTCCTCGAGAAAGACCTACAGAAATACATACCTTACATTGTACCCCATTGGCCAACTGGCTTGGACTATGTTAAGTCAAGGGCAGGAGGCACTCTGTCCTCTTGAGTAATTGTATCAAAAGATGCTTTGTTTTTACATTACACCTATTTATCATTTCCAAAGTTTTACTTACTCGAGCACCTGAGTATACCTCCTACTGTTTAGGCCAGGCATATCTCATCACTGTGCGCAGTGATTTAGAAAGAGGCTTAGAAGTGTTGAATAGTGTAAGGGAACATTTGAGTTGCTTACCTGTTGTTAGATACTGAGTTTACCCTGGGCTAAATAATCAGGACTTAGATATCTTATTTTTAAGTATCTTTTTGGTCTGACTTCTGCAATGTGACTTAGTCTCAGCTGTATCTCAACTTCTTTTTTTTTAACAGTTCAAAATAAACCAATACAGAGAGGAGCTCTTAAATACCTTGCAGAAGAATTGCTATCCTTGTCTATGCTTTTTTTCTATCCGTTAGTGCTGCATCTTGTTCTCCAAATTTTCTTGTACATTGTCTTTCAGACTGACTCTGGAAGCCTGTATTCTTGTAGCTGTGGTAAATAGAATCTCTTGAAAAATTAATTTTCATTATAGGAATGGATTGCAATTCTTTTAAACATTGGTTTTGTTTTGTTGTTTTTTTTAAATAATCAGGTCTCCACTATTAATGTAAACATATCAATAATAATTGCCTCTGTTTAAAAAAATTAGATCTATTTCATCATGATTAAAAGCTGAATAACAGAAAAATGGATATTCAGCATATTTTCATCTTGTAAAGAAGCAAATTTCTTTGTGCACCTTTTAACCACCTAGGCTGGGGATGTTGCAAATGGTAGGTAAACTGTCTTGCCCTGATGTGGGTCCACACAACTACTAAACCTTCCAAGTGACTCATCTTGGAATATGAGGTCTAAAGTAGAAAGAAGAGTCAAAAAGCTTTATATACATATATATTTTTTACGCTTCCCCTTTCATTAGTTCCCCTTTCATTCTGTTCCAAGCTGTTCTTCCTCCCCTTTTGATGTCTTTCTATGTAGATTTTGAAATTGCTTGTCCAAAACAAGTGTGGGGATCTGATCAGTATACCTTACAGCTGAGACACTTGGGGGGGGCGGGGCGGGGGGGGGGAATAAAATACAGATATATATACACACACAAAATTGAAAACTGAGGCCATTTGTGGCTGGGCTTGTAGTGATGTGAATCATAGAGAAAACCTTCCCAGGATGTTAAGCCCTATCCACAGACCAACTGGAGTGCAGAAAATGCCAAACTGGTGATTAAACTGTAGATTAAGATTTTATTTCAGTAACATAAACCACCTGCATTTTTTGACTTGATGACAAAACCCTCTCTGTAAGCAGGTATAGGGCAGAAGACTGATTATGAACATTCTGGAACGATTTGTAGGGTAGCTGTGTTCATAAACTTTGTAGTCCCTTTTCCATAATCACTCTCCCCATCCCAAGATCATTAATCACAGACTACTGGACAACAGCCATGAGTGACTAGCATCACTAGAACACAGCTTTAAACAGAATGACTTTGAAATATTCACAATTTTTTTTATCACTAGTGATGCAGATATGGCTTGATCTTCTCAAGACCTACAAGTACAGCCATTTTCTTGTCATGTGTTCTAGTCATAGTCTAGTCAGTCAGCTTTGGAGGCTTCTTATTACTCTCTCCTTATTCTTGAGTATGCAAGGCTCATAGAACATAACATGAATTTTAATTGCATGTTGTTTTTTTAAGAATTGGACTGTAATTGCAAGAATGTGAATATAGCAAAATACAATAATCCATTTAAGTAGCACTAGTGCCATGTCAGTAAATGTACATCATCTTGAATTGCTTAGTTAAACCTGTATTGTGGCATCATGTCACACTACTATCTGATCATGGGAGTAAATTAATGCTTTACTTTCAGTCTGGGAAGGTGGGATTTATTAAATGTGTCAGTAATAGTAATTGCTATAAATGTACCTCTTCAAAGACTTATTTAACTTGGTAATAACTTCTTTCCAGTCCTGCTATCGCTGCAAACTGAACATGAAAGAAGGTGACCCAGCTGTCTATGCAGAACGTGCTGGATATGACAAATTGTGGCACCCAGCTTGTTTTGTCTGTTGCACCTGCAGTGAACTTCTAGTAGACATGATCTATTTCTGGAAGAATGGTAACCTGTACTGTGGAAGACATTATTGTGATAGTGAAAAACCCCGCTGTGCTGGATGTGATGAGGTAGGAAATATCCTAGTCCTTTGTTTTAGCACACAAGTTTGCTCCCCTGAGAAGTGAATGTGATTTTTAGTAAAATATTTCAGTTCAGGGAGATGATGTGCCTTCACCAGTTTTAGCTGATCGTAGTTGCAAGGAACTGAAACTGATATGGACACTTGACATTCAGGAAGAGCCATAGTTGGCTTTGGGTTTGGTGGGGATTTTGTGTGGTCTACAAGGACATAGGATGTAATACATGCATGCAAATTCCTACGAAGTCCCAATTATGCAGTTGTTTCCCCATGAAGGGCACTAGGGGGAGCACCTTGCTAAATCACACCTTGTGCAGCATACAGAGAAAAGCCTGCTTGGTGTCTTTGGCATCTATTGGCTCTTAATAAATGAAATGGAGGCTTTTGGAAAACAGTCAAACAAGTGAATGCATTCGTTTTTGTTGTTGAAATCATTTGAAACAGTGGAATCACCGGGAGTTCCTTGAAATTACAAAACATCCTGAGGCTAGCTTTATTAAAAGAAATACTATTCAAATGCATATATTAATATTTGTTTGTATCTTCTTCATAGCTAATATTCAGCAATGAATATACTCAAGCGGAAGGTCAAAACTGGCATCTGAAACACTTCTGCTGTTTTGACTGTGACTGCGTTTTAGCTGGGGAAATCTATGTAATGGTGAATGACAAGCCAGTCTGCAAACCCTGCTACGTGAAGAACCATGCTGCGGTAAGATCCTTCCACACATGTTGGTGCTGTGAAGGAAGGGAATGTACATCTACGGAGCTTGAAACTCTTACTTTCTCCCAGTGTGAGAGTATCTGAAGAGTATAAATTGAATGCAAGTTTAGGCTCAAGTCAATCATCTTTTTCACCTTTGAAAAAAAACTTAAAAGCAGACAAGTTTTTTGTCAATTCATAAACTTGAACAAATGCCGCTGGCGGGGGGGGAGGCTGTTCTGAAAATACCTTTAACTTTGCCAGTGGTGAAGCAGGATTTTTTTAACAGGAGGAGTAAAGCAGGTGAAGATGAGTAATGCTGCTAAACCTTTAGTTTGTGTCAATCATGGTTCATTGTGACCAGTGGGATTCAACTTCAGCTGGTCTGCTAAAAGCCTGTAGTGGCAATTGCAATCTAGGTACTTTGTTTCTTTGTATTTCTAACCACATGAGTTATAAAGGAGAGTGACTGACGGGATAAAGCTAGAAGTTTGGGAAAGGATGGTAGTTCTCGATTCCTAGTTATGCTAGGAACTCTAATCTGAGATTATGGTCCATTCATATTTGCCAATTAACTAGCTATTAGTTGGGAGTTCAGTCTAATGTGCATCTAGACTGTTTATATAGTTAATGGAGGGAAAAACTCTTATCTCTAGCTGGCAGTTAATAATCTTCTAATGTAGGTGTGAAGAATTATCTTTTGGAGAGGCTTTTTTTCTCTTAAAACATTAACTTCCTTGAGATCTAAATGATCATTTTTGAGAACCAGATTTTAAGATTAATTACATCCAAGACTTTCTATAACCTTTAATTCTTTGGCATTGCTTTACAGCTGCCAATGCACAGGAAGATTTGTAACTAATCTCTTCAAATGTATGGGTTAATATATGAAGATCTGTGCTGTTTGGCATGACCAGTTTTTATCATTATTTGGGCATTGGGAAATCCTAACCATCATAACTGTCTAAGTTTAGTGCCAGCAGCAACTAACTTCTTGTGTGCATTTTATTTTGTTTTGTGCCTCAGCTGCATTTTGATCAGAAACTCCGCTTTAAAAATAAAGGAAAATCAAAAGCTGGAGACTTATTTCAAAGGCTTCTTTTAACACCTGTCTCTAGTCTCTAAAAACACTTAAGAATTCTAGCTTTTATTGGACTTGTAGAGAGGATGTGTATGCTTCATTTAAGTGTCATTTTGTTTCTAAACAGATCTGCCAAGGCTGTCATAATGCTATAGATCCAGAAGTTCAGCGTGTGACATACAACAACTTCAACTGGCATGCTACACAAGAATGTTTCTTGTGTTCCTGTTGCAGCAAGTGTCTAATTGGCCAGAAGTTCATGCCGGTAGAAGGGATGGTCTTTTGCTCAGTGGAATGTAAGAAAAAAATGATGTCTTAAGAGAAGACATGCACAGAACCAAGCATTGCTGTGTTCCAAAGGCTCTTGCATTTCTACTGTAAAATACATAGTATCGGGGCATTTAAAGTTATTGAAAGTATTAAATAGCGTTTTCCCAAAGATTTTCTTGAATGACTAAGACTTGCTATATAATCTTCATTTCTTAGCTGTAATAATACTTTCTTTTTTGGGGTATTGTTCCCAAGTCTTATGTCAAATGACTTCGTATCCCAGAAATGTAAGAAAAAAATGTTGTGAACTATATACGCTTTAAGGGAGCTCTTCACCCTAAAGGATCTTTTTGCTGTATCTTGTCTAATGGAAGAAGAAAATGTGAAAATGCTCCAATTTTTCTTGTTTTGTATGATAAATGTAATTCTTCCACTTTTAGTTTCACTAATTTATCATTTTTATAGTTCCCCTGCTTTCATCAAGCACTTTAGACAAAATGATCAGCTTTACTGCCACATACAGTTTTGTTCAGTAGGCCTCAAGTATGCAGGGAGAATGAAGCTTAAAAAAGCCTGTAATCATTTGCTTGTTGTTGACACATTCTTTCTTGAGGTTCTTGAGGGGATAGTGACTATGCTCACATCTAGTTTGTAAAGTAACTGCATGAGTAGAAAACTGTTGGCTCACATTTGTTTCTTACAACTGTTCATGCCTGGAAAAGTTTCCATTTTATGAATGTTGAAGTTACTTTACAGATTTATTTGGGGGGGGAGGAGGAGGGGAGAAAATATAAGAGGAGGTCTTGCCCAGATTTAAAAAAAAAAAAAATCCACTGACATTAGTGGGTGTCACTCTTATCCTTTCAGAACTGGCTTCTGTTTTTTCATGAATGTTCTTTTCATAAACTGTGCCTTCTATCAGAGGGACATGGCACACAATACCGTATGCATTTCCAGGAATGTAATTCTGCAAAAGGATCATATACTTAGGCTTTTGATTTGTAAGTTCTTAACCAAAGCACAAAGAAGTCTTTCCCAGAAGGCTTCCAGTATTTGAGTGAAAAAAATCACAGAAATCACAGCTATGTGTTAGCTTTGCTTACTAGATAAACCAAATGTGTGGTTCTCTTTCTTTTTCTTAAAGATCTACAGTGAAACTTGTTAGTTATCTTTGTGCCAAACAGTGAATGGAGAGTCTTTGGCCTAAAAAAAAAAAAAAAAAAATCTATGCAAATCTTATGTTCAGCTCTTTTTTAAGTTTTATGGTGGCTGTATTGTAACACTTAAAAATAAAAATTACTGTTGTTCACTTGAGTTGTCCACTAATCCTGTTCTTGTTGAATCCCCTTTAGAGGAGGCAAAGAGGAGGGGAAATGTTTCCATACTTCTCTTTAGCTTTGATGTTATCTCCAAAAAAACTGAAGGCCTGTGTTACTGTAAAGTGCTTACTATCTTGGGTAATATTGTTGATGTGCTTATAGGTGTAAAACAGTGGGTCTTGTTCCAACAAATACACAACTTCAAAACTTGGTGTGAATTTACTTTTTATTCACATAAACTATGGCCTTAATTGTATTTTAAGACATAGCATGGGAAGTTTTGAATTCACACAGGTGAGCTAATGTGCTGAGAAAATGAAGCACATTGTGATCCTCTGAGTACTGCAAAAAGAAGACACTGACATGAGATACAAACTTTGTATGTTGTCTAAATTGAGACGTAAAATTTAGGTCTGTGTTAGCCTATACAGCTTTTATCAGAGATCCTCAGGATGTACAAAAAAGCGTATGTCTTTCAACTCGTACCAATGGGGTTGTATTCTTGCCAGATTTGCAGCTTTTAAAAAAAAGGAAAACCGGGATGTCTCAGTAAGAGAAGGTGCTTCCATTTTTCCATTTAAGTACTCCTTAATCTGTAACAGGACATGCTGTGAGAATGCCATTTGGGGGGTGGGATAAGGTCTTATTTAATGATTATCTATTAGGATGGCTTAATAGTGTCTGGGTTTTACTTGTCTTGAGTGCATCTGTCCTTACCCACTCACTAATATTGATTCTAGAAGATGCAGCTGATCTTTATAAAGAACCCTTTGTGAAAAGCTGCTGTGCAACTTTCCCTGCCCCTCTCTTGCCACCCCATGTAACAGCTCTATTTCTCCTTAATGTGATTGCTTGCACTGATGGTAGTCTTACTTTTCACTTTTTAAATCTTGTTCTGTGCAGTTTTGTTTATTAAGCTTTATTATTGTGTAACCTTCATCTAAAAGGATGAGCAGGCACTACATTGGGACTTACTCATTCCATCAAGACAGAATTGTGAAGGGAATTCCTGTCAAACCAAACATCTCAGTAGTCCATCATCTTCTGGGACTGGCTTTTTCCATGCCTCTTCTGAAGCATGCTGGCTTGCTGTCTTTAGCTAGCTCTCTTCTTGAGAAGCTTAATCTTCTCTTGCCTGCTTGCTCCCTTCTGGCTCTCTTCCCTTGAACCTGATGCATCTAGGTGTTTCTGCTATGGGGTAGCCAAAGTTTCATCTCTGTCCATGCAGTAATTGGAAAGGATCATGTCATAGGAAGGTCAAATGTAATGTGCAGATGGTACAGAGGGGAGACAAAGGTAATTGCTGTGTGACAACACAATAGATCAGGAGATGATGAGGAGTGCTAAACAGTTCTTGTAAGGAGCTAGGAAGGAATTTATGTTCCTGAAGATAATACTTTTAGTATTAGCTGAAAGATATGTCAACATACTGGAGTTTGAATACAAGCATTAAGAAGATTTCATTCTGCCACTGCCATAATAAAAATATTGGCAGATAAGTGGTTTTTTTGTTCTCTTGTATTTTTTGGCTATTTTATCGTGGAGGTCCCTTTGGATCTATTTATCTTAGTAAGCTAAGAATAGAAGCTGGAAGTACATACGTTGCAGATGAAATTTTGAACTCAAAGTATGAAAGTTGAAGTTCTACCCTTAAGCCGTACAAGCACTTGTTATACCAACATACTAGTTAATTTGCTGCAAGAAACAGCCTGAAGAGGCACTTGGCCAGCTCTATTTATCATGCCACTGCCAGAGTGACATACTTGATTTTAACTCTTCACACGTTGAGCACCAAATGAAGATAAAGATTCACAGCAGAAGACACGTTTGGCCTTGTCACTATTGGCATGTGTGAGAAGGAAAAGCCCAAGTTTACCTTCAGGATGTAACTTTCTGCCTGTCTTAGCTTTATGTTCTGTGTTTTATGTTATGTGGCTACTGTGACAATGTAGGCTGTTAGACTCCAAGTTTTTAGAGTAGAGTTGTGTTTTTAGCAACTAGCTGTAGAGAATAAGTATGGCTGTTCGGTAGAACAACAACTTTTAATATAGAGTTTAAACAAAAGTGGGGTGTAGCTTAAGCCATTGCAGCAAAGGACACCAGAGAGACCATCCTGTCACTGATCAAATTGGGACATCTGGGGACTTGATTTTTCTTTTTGGTATAGCAGTAGCAGTCAGCCTTTTCAAAGAACCCCTAAAATCACCAGGTTTCTGTTCATTTACACTTCAAACACACCCTGAAATTTTGAAATTTCCCTAGTGCCCAGAAATGGCAGACAAGGTGAAATGCCATTGAGATTGTTAAGTCCTGCTTCACTTAAGCTGTTTGTAACCTTCATTGGAGCATCTGGGTATTACATGTTGGTTGACCACAGAGCCCAGGAGCCTTCACCAGCACCACAAGCAGCATAACACAGCATCGTCAGTGCCCTGAGAGCGAAGGAGCTCTGTGGCACTCTGAGCATGTATAACTCCCGCTGCCTTTTAGGAGATACAGATTTGTATGCACATGAAGGGCTCTTAGCACACTTATGGTTTAATCTTTTTTTTTAACCAGTTTATATAGTAAAATGTACTTGTGTATGTCATTCCAAATATTAGTGCATTAATTGGAGTGTGATTTACAGTGTGAATGAAGAAAAAGTGGTATTGCCATTGTAGTTCTTTTGGTACAAAGAACAAGATTTTCCTTGTTGTTTATGGCCCACTGCTACAAAAATAGATTTTATGTGAACTCCAGGCAAACTATTTCCTTTTTCTGGGATGAGGTTAAAGTCAAGGCCGAGTCAGTGCCATACAGGATGGTTTTTTGGAGGGTGCCTTAGCATAGAGATGCAGTTAGCTTTGGATTTCATGAGACTGCTACCACCGTTATATAGTCAGAATCCAATATTGCCTTTTATTTAAGGAAGTGTTATACTGAGGATCTGTAAAGCCCAGGTGGCAAAGGCTTTGTCAAAACCACGACATTTATAACTTTAAAAGAACAAAGCTAAATAAATGCATCTTTGAATTAGGAACAGATACAGGAATAACCTGTAATATTTATTGAGATCAGGATTGCATGTCAAACTTATTACGGTTATACATATGCTAGAAAGAAAAGGAAAACATTCTTTAAGCAGCTCTTTGTATGTATGTCTCTGGAAATTCTGTCTCTTAAGATTACGTGCTCATGAGCAAAACCAATACAGCAACTTTTCCTGCAGAATCCTAGGTATTGAGTGTTACTGAATGGGGTTGATGGTGTGAAGCAAAATTATCTGGCTTTGCCAGAGTAATGACCATTAGCACAAAACCGTTTACATTCACGACTAACTTGAAGTGCTTGGAAGCTCTAGACCATCCATTCCCAGAAGAACTGGTGAGGTAGGGGTGGGAGGGTGTTAACGCTTGGTTCAAAAACCTCTGCCAAGTTTAGCATGGTTTTGGGATGCTAGAGCTAGCAGTGAGTGGCCAAGAGGAGATTGGCAGTCCCCGAAAGGGTCAGCAATTCAACCAGCAGCAGGCTCTCCAAGAGAATACAGGCACAGGATGAAAGGAGCTAGTATGAGGATGCAGCAATTCAAGGGCAGGGACTTGCTCCAAAAATTTGAGAATTCCTGTATGATGTCCTTAGGTCCTGGGTGTGCTCTCGGCAGAGCCACATACCCTGTGGCATCTCAGTGGAAAGCCATCATAAAAATCACCTCCACAAGAGTAGTCTGCTGGGTCACTGGGGCCAATGTGGTCTTCTCCTTTCCCAGTCCAAGCAAAGCACTATCCGAGAAGATTCGAGTCTGATTCACATCAATATATATGAATGCTTTTGTGTGGGGGAAAAGATGTGACAGGCCAATAGAAAGTCTTCTGCTAGGCCTCCACACCTCTTCATGTGTCGGGACTGCAGAGTGC